TTTTTTTTTTTTTTTTTTTTTTTTTTTTTTTTTTTTTTTTTTCCGTCTTCTTTATTGTGGAGATGTTAATGGACTCGGGAGTCCTCCAAAGTTCATCATCCAGCCACTTCCCCTCCCCAGATAGGGCCTCTCTGTGCAGCCCTGGGTGTCTTCCATCTGCCTGCCTCTGCCTCCCGAGGGCTGGGACTAAAGGCGTGCTCCAGCCGCAGAGTATTAACACTGTGGTCTGGTGAGGTGCGCTGCTGTCATCCGCTGCTGTCATCCGCTGCTGCATGAGATTTTCTCTAACGCACACACATGTGGCGGCTGCTTCCACTAGCCCAGCTGCCTTATGGAAGGGCACACTTTGCTTTTGGGTTTTGTGTTTTGTTTGAGGTAGGGTCTCAATATGTAGAACTTGCTATGTAGACTGAGCTGGCCCTGAACTCATAGCCAGTTACCTTCCTCTCCTCCTATATGCTGGAACTAAAGGCCTGGGACACCTGCTTTCTCTCTAATTTTTTTTTTTTTTTTCTGAGACGTGATTGTCTATGTAGTTCAGGCTGGCCTCAATCTCAGTATGTAGCCCATGCTGGTGCTGAACTCTTCCATCTTGCCTCAGACTCCTAGAAGTAGGACTGTAGGTATATGCCACCATGGCCAGCTAACACACTGGCACTTCACAACTCCTGAGTAGACAGCCATTTCAGAAGTTTCAATCCATCGTGTAGGGAGGATGGAATGGAGACTGATGTCATGGTAGACAGGAAGCATCCCAGAGCCTGGCCGGACCCCTTGACAGTATACACTAATACAAACAGCAGTCCATGCCGCCACCCCCACCCCTGCAAGGGCTTTGTCTGTGCTTTCTCCACTTCCCTGATGCTCTCGTCACAAGCCACTCTTCACTCTTCATTGTGTGAACAGCCTTTCAGGTCAGTGTTTCTAAAGATCCTGCCACACTTTTGTTCTCATTCTATACACTTTCATGAGTCAATCTATTTCCATGTTAAAAAACAACAACAACAACAAAAATACCCCAAACAAAACACAACACCATGCTGTTCTGGGCAGTGGTGGTACATGCCGTTAATCTTTGTACTAGGGATGTAGAGGCAGGAGGATCTCCCAAGTTTGAAGCCAGCCTGGTCTACAAAGTGAGTTCCAGGACAGCCAGGGCTACTCAGAGAAACCCTGTCTTGAAAAACCCAAAACCAACCAACCAACCAACCAACCCAATAAAAACAAAAACAACAACAACAAAAAACCCCAAAAAACAAAAAAACAGAACCAACCGAACAAAAGCCAAAAAGCTATGCTGTGAGACTCAAATCGTTATTTCTAAATGACTTCTCTTTTGGGCTTAAGAACCCACGCTAACCCACAAGTAGATATATCCATTTAGATACTTGCTTTTCTTCCCCAAGCTTATTCATCCTTCTACTACCATAGACCTATCAGCAAGTCAAACGCTGGGCCTTCAGTTCTCATACTCTTCATCAGCCCCTAAACCCAATTACCAAGCCCTGCGCTTCTGCTTTTAAATTGGTCTATTTTTCACTCACGTCATCATCATCAATCTAGCTCCAGTGAAATACTGGAATAGCTTCCTAAGTGGCATTCTTACCACTGTCCTTACTATAATTCCAAAGGTTGTTCGAAAGGGGCTGGCTCTTACACCAGCAGCTTAAGCTTGGGCTTTGAAATAGACATCTGGTCAACTAAAGACATTCCTTCTATTCTCAAGAGTTGATTTCTGAGGACCTATGATCTGCCCTCTTCAATAAATAAATAAATGAAGGAGGAGGGAGACAGAGAAGAGTTCGGGACTCTGTGGTAGAGCATTTGAGTTTAACCCCCAGCACAGCAAACACACACTGCAGTGGGGGAACAGCAAGGTGAACCCTGCATCCTCCACAGGACAAGCCGGAGCTGCTGGTCTAAGAGGTCACAGTTGCTTCACCCACAGTGCTTCCAAGTCCAGTTTCCAAGTCCTGCTACTGCTAAGAGGAACGGCACATAGGCAATTTGTTTCCTTTTGCCTTTTTGAAAAGCCTGTTTAACGCTTCTGTTTTATTTCTGCCATCAAGTGTCAACCTTAGAGCAAGTGAAGACATTTAAGAGTAAAACAGATTACAATCTACTGGGAAGGAAATAGAAAAGGTTACTGTATGGCATCAAAAATAAAAGGGGAAAAAGGGCTATAACACCTGGAGAAGACATTCAGCTATGAGTTTTTTTTTTTTTTTTGGCAAATAAGACAAAAATGAAGCACATCAAATTATAGACTTTTCATTTTCTGACAGAAAAAAAAAAAGGATATAATTTCATTTACAGAGGCAAACCTTTCCTGGAACTAATTAATGTAAGCTATAACTCATAAGGAGGTTTTCTTTCTTTTGTCTAAATGGGACTAAGTTGATTTGACTTTTTTTAATGAAAAAATGGATTTACTCTTAACTTCAACAGTATATGTTGTGCATACTATACTGTGCCCCAACAGTATAGTATGTAAGCTGTAAGCATGATAGGTTTGCTTCACTTTTACCGTACTCAGTTTCATCTGCACCAATAGGACCATCTACAGCTGCCTGTGGACTGCAGACACAGAGAATACACACAGCAGAGCTTACATTACCCGTGGACTGCTCACACACAGAATATACACAGCAGAGCTTACACTACCTGTGGACTGTCAGACACAGAATATACAAGGCAGAGCTTACACTACCCGTGGACTGCAGCACAGACTCATACACAGAATATACGCGGCAGTGCTTACACTGGGCTTTGTGTTGATCACCATCAAAACTGAGAGCATGACAAATTTTGTCTTGGTAGAAGACATTATCTGAGATACTTTGTCTTTTACTGCACTTCAGTTTCACTAACAGGAACAAAACGTCATACTATTTCATACTTCATACAAGAACAAAAACTTGGGGAACACAGGATGAAAAGGTGTGGCCTGGCACCCAAACTCCATTCACACCTATAGTTTCTGTAAAGAACCCGAGACTAAAAATCACCTACCTACCAAAACCACTGCTAATCGCAATACACACAACTGTTGATGGATGTCTATATTAAAAATTTCTGATTAATTTTTGGTTAGTATTTTTTGTACAGTTTCAACCCAATATATTTAACCCAGGTTGAGTATATAGTCTGAAAAGGTAATTACAACTTGTTACTTTCATTTTTCTCTCTATATACCATCTCTTCACATTTTTTGTTTTTGTTTTTCCAGACACGGTTACTCTGGGTAGCCTTGGCTGTCCTGGAACTCCCTCTCTATCTGCCTGCCTCTTTCTCCTGGGTGTTGGGATCTAGGTGTGTGTCACTACGCCTTGCCCAGTATACATTTTTATAACACTAACTCAGAAAATGGAAACTTTGAATGGTTAGACTCCAAATGTTTTAGAGATGACAATTTGGAACTGCCCACTTGGTGCCTTTTCATTTAGTAGCAGCTCTAACTCACGTCACAAACATGTAGAGCCACACGGGAACTCAGTGGTCTGCCTAGAAGGTAGAGCTGGAGCCCCAACTCAGAGCAGGATCTCAGGAACTTTAAAGTGTTCATTTGTTAAATCTGAATCACTAATTTAAGCTTTTGGGATTTAGCAGATTAAAACCAATGATTTACATTAAATGATATGCCCAGGGTCTTGAAATAGTATAAAGCCAGTTTTGGGTGCCTTTAGTCAGGTTTGTCACCGTGACAAAGTGCCTGAGAAGACAACTGATGGGAGGATGGATTATTTTGGTTCTCAGCTTTTTAGTTATTATTTGGACTCATGAATAATGTGACTTCAGTTTGATGTACAAAATGTAGGAATAGCTGCTTCTATAATTTTCAAGTGTAGCATAACCCTTTAGAATTAAATGAGACTTGTCATTCTGAAAAGAAAGTCTTACACAGTTTTGTGACGGGACAGAAACCTTGGTTATGATCTCTTAAATATTCAGATTTAAATACATACACTGAATAAGTCAGGCTTCCACAGTGAAGAGACAGTTGCTTGAAGGCACAATTCTAGGACATGAGTGATGGCTGTACTGATGGAGACGGGCTACAGTGACAGGCAGAAGAATGAATGAGTATCTGCACAGAACCTTGGCCCAGCTCTGCCACCTGCTCCTGATGGCCTTGTTCACCTCCTCCATGCTATCTCTAAATTGTAGTCCAAAGGTTTGCGATACTGCTCAGCTGCAAGCTCACCTAACACAGAAGTCCCCAGTCTGGTCTGAGTAGCGTAATAACGGGATGGTACACATACCTTGAAATCCTAACACTTGGTAGGTGGAGGCAGGGGGATCACAAGTTCAAGGTCTGGCTACATAGTGAGTTTGAGGCTCACCTGGAGTACATGAGCTTGTATTAAAATGCAAGGGAAAGAAAAATCAATTCAGGACTACCTTCTTGTCTGCTCCTTGCTGTTTTAGTCAGTTTCACCATTTAGCCAAGCCTCCACCTCAGTGTAGAGAGAGCTGCACCAAGGCCAGCATTGCCATGATTGCCCTGTTTGATTCTTCTATCCATCATATAAAGGCCTGCCTCAAACTCTCCATCCTTCCGCCTCAAAGTCTCGAGTGCTGCCTCAAGGCCAGCATTGCCAAGATTGCCCCACTTGACTCTTCTATCCATCTTAGAAGATGATATTAAAGATACCTGTAAGAGAACTTACTCCCAAACCATTACTTTTCTGTTTGAATGAATGTGTATATGTGTGCCTCCTTGACTGTTATGTGTACCTTATACATGCCGTGGCCCACAGGGGCCAGAGGATGTTGAAACTCTTAGAAACATGCTTCAGGCAGCTGTGAGCTGGCCCAGTGGGTCCAAGAAGCATGTACCAAACTGTCTCTCCAGTCCTTTCCCTATTTTAGTGAAGACAACCTTCCAACCCCCCCAGCACCACTTCTAAAACATGCACCTTTGAACTGTTTCCAGCAGCAGTTCCCAGGTTAATCTCTCTCAACAATATTCTTCCAGTGATTCCTTCCCAAGGCAGTTGACAGCCTTTTTCCAGACCAGAAAACAACTTTAAATAGTCTCATAAATCAGTGATTTCTTTTGAAACTTTCTATTTTAGAAAAGTAAAGTAATAGAAGTATGGCTGGAAAGAAGCAATGATTAAGACAGTACACTGAAAAATGCTTTAGAGCAAAACATCACACTTAGCAATATCAACTGTTGGTGAGGATGATACACAGCTACCGGCAATCTTATCATATAAAGTACAAAAGGACACTTACCCTGGAAACATTTGGCAGTTTCTTACCAACATAGGCTAACCCTGAAAACCAGCATTTGTGCTCTAATGTGTACCCAAGAGAAAAAGGGGCCAAGTTTTGCATAAATACTTGCATACAACTTTCTAGAGTGGTTTTATCAATACATTTGATAATATATCTTAAAATGAAACAAGTAAACAACAATAAAAATTATAAGCAGTTACAAAATCATAACTAGTATATCACATTATATATTAATATAAGAATAAATTAAAAAACTAAATGTGCCATAGCATGACCCAAATAGCTATCAACTATGGATTAGTGATCCATGCTTCAGCCATGTGTGTGACATACATACTCAGTTAAGTGAAAAAAGTCAGGTGCAAAAGGCTACATGTTGCTAATTTAATTTATATAACTTTGTATAAAAGTTGAAACCACAGGTAAAGAAAATAGGTAAGTTGACATTAAGGAACAGGACTGGGGGAGAGGGGAAAGAAAGTTGCCTTAAAGGGGTCATGAGGGAGTTTTTGGGGTGTTGAGACTACCTTACATATGGATGGGGGGAGTAATAATAACTACGCATACTTGCCAAAGGAAACAAGACAGATTAATTTCCCCAAAGTTAAATCACTCTCTCTCTCTCATATATATCTCTCAGGCTAACCTCAAACTTACTATATGTAGCCAACCTTCAATTTCTGACCTTTTTGCTTCAGTTGGCTGAGGACTAAAATGATAGGTGCTCAGCTTTATTTGGTATTGGGATGAAACCCAAGACATTTGTGCATGCAGGCAAGCAGGCTAGCAGCTGAGCTACATACATGCCTCTGTTTATATTTTCTAATAAATATGATTTAAACCACAACATAATCAGCTAGCACAAACTGGAATGAATGAGTCTAAAAGGAGAGGAAGGGAGAGAGGTAGCAGGGAAGGGAGAAAGAATACAAAATTAGGTGGGTAGAGGGGTGGTGAGGATCTGAGGGAAGGGGATGAATGTCATCAAAATACACTGTATGAAATGTTTTATAAAAAGTTTACAAATTAAAAGATTAAATTTTCAAAGAACTAGAAACATTTGGTGAGCAACAATGAAAAAGTATAAAGAACCTTACAACTCTGCACAGGGTGGTGCAGACCTGTAATCCTAGTACTTGGGAGCTGCAGATAGGAGGGTCACAGAGGCCAGCCTCTGGCTCATGATACGCCCCACCCCAAAAGCACTTCAACTTTAAAGCTCAGTAGACACGCTGCATAAGAGGGATAGGTAAGACAGAGGCACATGAAAGAAACTGAATGTCTAATGGCAGAAAGAAACAAAGCAGGTAGTGGTTACGTCATGTGAAGATCAGTGACTGAGATATAAGAAAGGCATTCCAGAAATGAGTCTTATCTCTAAAAGTAAAGCACCTCACAGATCAAGTGTTATAAAAATGGACAGATCATAGTGAGCCACAAACAGAAATCACTGATCAGCACAGGGACAGGACACCAGGTCCAGTCATCTTATCACAAACATTGATTTGGAAAATGCTCAAGAGGTGACAAATTATGACAAGGCAGGAAAAGTACCTCACGGTGATTTAGAAGCTGCTCCAAATCCAAGGCCATCTGGTTCTTCGTCTGCAGCAGGGCTGACTTTTCCTTATTTAAATTGCTGTTAAAAACCCAAGTTTTAAAAAGTGACCATATTGTGTGAGTTTAGTTAAGAGACAGTAAATAAAAAAAACAAACATAAATTTGATGGTTTGAACTAAAGATAAATGGGATTTGTAGTTGGAAAACAGCAGAGCAGACACTGTAATGCTACTTGAATGAGTGGCTGGGTTATTGTACAAGAGGAGTTTTCGACAATGTGACTACCCTGCCTGCCTTGGGCACACAATCAGTGTTTTCCTGACTGCTCACCCCTGTAAAAAGGAGGAACAACAGGAAGGATATATACATGGACATATTAAGACACAAGATATTACAAGTCAATTTGAAGCATTTACCCCTAGAACTTACAGCAGTATTTTTAATTAGTCACATTGTAAATTAGGAAGTACATAATTTAGATAAATCAGTCTCCTGTAAACTTTGCAAAATAATTTTGTCTCCAAATTTTTAGTTTGATATTAGTTTGGTATTTAGTTTGGTATTAGTTTGGTATTAATTAGTTTGGTATTTAGTTTGGTATTAGTTTGGTATTCGGAATTTCTATGTCTACATTGTGATTTTATCACTGGTAAGTTCTGCTTTATGACAGAGTCCACTGTAAGGTCATATTAATATTCTAAGAAATAATTGTGGACAGCTTTACCTTATCTGCAATTTTACTATTTCATGTACAGGTATTAATGGGAAGATGAAATAGTCTATTATAATGTCATTTGTAAAAAAAGAAAATCTATGTGACCAGCTCTGAGAATTGAGAAAAGCAGTAATAAGTCAAAATAGCACAGTTTCTCAATGTTGACAAAAAATCTGTGAGGGCAGAGTTAATGAGAAGCATTACTGCAAGACATCTTCAAGTTATTTTTAACAAAAAGTTACCCATTATAAGAATACTAGAGGATGTTTTGAACTTAAATGTAATGAGCATTCTGGAAGAACGGGCAAGTCCAAGGACTTAAAAGGAAAAGTTCCCAGCTCCTCCCCATGAAATCAGCTTCCCCATGAGCGCTGTCCTGAGGATGGCGTGCAGTTCTGAGTGTGTCCTACTGTGCCACTCACTCAGCTGGGCAGGGTGAAGCAGAACCGGGTTTTCACATCTGTAAAAGTGTAAACTCCTCATGTATGCCAAAGGGATATGGGAATTACCTAGTGAATGATTACATAAAGCGCTGAACACATAAAACTCTACATAAGTGCTGCACACTATTACTAACTTAGATGAAAAACAGGCATCAGAGGAAAACAGTAATTAAATGCCAATAAAGGCAAGCAGCTCAGCAGAAAAACAAACTGACATGCAGAGGTAGGCGCCAGGGATCCTACTAAGCTGAGCAGTTGAAAAGAACAAAATGGTGTCCAGGACAGAGTGCCCTGTTCCGCCAGGCTCCGAGGCATGGTACGCATCAGGTGTTTCAGAAATGCTCAAATTCCAAGCGATTTGTATTTTATCTGGGGATACACACTCCTCGAAATGAAAGTACAGACTGGTAAACACAACTAGGTCTTCTCAAGGAGTGTTTCCATTCATATGTAAGTGCATACACAGACAATGCATAAACACTTGCCTTTGTGCAGTGCACACTCTGTCTCTGTCTCTCTCTCTGTCTCTGTCTACACTCACTCACTCACTCACTCACTCACTCACTCTCCCTTTCTGTCCCAAACACCAGCAAGTCCATTAAATAAAATACAGTGCAATGGGAATGGAATGTTGAAGTAATTAAAGGATTCTGACCGGATATTCTCTAGAAAGGCTTTGTATCTAGTATTTAACTTTTCAAGAATAAAGCAAGTTTTCCACAATTAAACAGCAAAGCAGCCTCACACTATGGAATCCACGCTGGGTGGACAACACTGCATAACTGTGTCGCCTCTTAAACACAGCAGCTTATCAGAGGCAGTATGAATGCTTCAGGCACATCTCTCTGACTGGAAAATCTGGGCTAGACTTTCTAAGCCTTAGTCTTTGCTATAGCATATCTAAGTCACAAGGGACACTACTTTTAGCATGGACATTTCGAAAACTCCACAATGATCATTAAATTCACTGTCCTGATAGTAGGTCCTTTCTCAGTAGAAATTCAGTCTTCATAAGACATAGTTCAGAACAGTGCAATCTTACTTTTAAAAAATATAAACCTTCCATGTGTGACTCATAAAATTGGAAAACAAACTTGCCCTGAGCACTTCTATCTTGAATGTTATATTACACCCATAATTGTTCAATTCACTGTTAATTATTACTTAGAAATTTATGTTTATGGCTCTATTTCACCTGCTATAGGAAAACATATTCCTGATATATTGTACCTTAACTTCCTGGATCAATATACTCTGGTTTCACCTTGTAAGAGAAGTTGACAATGTAGTCTTTTCTAACTACTAGTGAAGAATAAACTGAGAGCCAATAGCAGGGAAAGAAAACTTATGCTAATTATTCTCTTTTCACGCTCCCCTCAGATCCAAAGTAGAGCTCACACTGGATTTTCCAGACTGACTGTCTCCTGTGGCGTGGTAGAGAGTTAACGTACTACTTTTAGACTAGATTACTACTTTAATGACGGGGAATTCAAAGCAGTTACTAGCAACATCTTACTGTGAGCTTTCCAACAGCTTCTGATGATTTTATTTCAGTACATATTTATTCTAACCTTTCTGGTTACCAAGTGCACTGCATAGGTAGATCTGGCCTTTGGCACAGCAGTGGAATTTTTTATTTGAATAAACTGTATAAACATTTAAACTTGCAAGGGTTAATAGTAGTACAACAGCATTGTTTAACTTTAAAAGAAAGTAGTAAATTTCCTCAGTTCTTTTGTTGTTAAGCTAGGTCTCATGTACCTCAGGCTGGCCTTGGAACTAACTCCTACATAGCTGAGCATGAGCATAAGCTTAAACTCGTTAATTAGTTATGTGTGGGGGGTGCATGTATATTCTGGGGGTCAGTGTACATGACTATGTAGAAGCCATAGGAAGATACAAGGTTTTGTCTTCTAATGTTCTGCCTATTCCCTTGGGATGGTCTTTTACCCAATCTGGAGCAGGCAGTCAGCCCGCAAGGCCCAGCGATCCTCTTTCTGTATTACAGGTGTGTGTGGCCACGTCTAGCTTTTCAGTTGTTTTTACATGGGCGCTGGGATCTGAATCAAATCTCCGTGTTTGCACAGAGCCATCTCTCTAGCCCTGTAGCTGGCTTTTTAATGCTGTCAGCATACCTTACCATTCATACATGGACAGAGGCAGAGCTTGGGGCAGAGTTTCTAATTCCACTACTTTGGAATTACACTACCTTCATTTTTCACAACAGATGACATCTGGTTCATCTGGAAGCATGGCATCACATCCCATCAAATAGTAGTTCAGAATCTATTTAAATATATTATGAGCTTCTGAAACACGAATTTGATAAACTAAGCATGGTGGTGCACACACCTTCAATCCCAGAATCAGGAAGCAAAGGCAGCTAGATCTATGAGCTCAAGGGAATCGGGTTTAAGGTTCCAAGACAGCCTGAGACCCTGCTTCAAATATATATGCTGATAGCTAATTCCACATTGACTTATGATTACTGTTGCCAGGAGTTTTACTTTTGATTCAAATTCAACATCCTGAGAGATATTATTTCTCATTTTTAAAATTATCAGCACACGAATTTGTCAAGAGTTAGATGAATACCAATAAAGGCAATTGCTTATGATGTTTAGGCATTATGCTATACATATTAAATTGTAAATTAATTCTCAGACAGCCGTGTGAATTAGGTACATTAATACCACCTGCACAGATAAAGAGGCTGGTTGTGTAGTTCAATACCATTAGCCCATGTGACAATTAAATTGAAAATTAATTTAATTTAAATAGTGATGGGGGATGCCCTTCTGTATACTGCAAATATATGTTTCTCTTATTGGTTGATGAATAAAGCTGTTTCAGACAATGGACAGGCAGGATTCGGCCAGGTGGGAAATCCAAACAAGGATAGAGAAAGATAGTAGGCAGAGTCAGGGAGACTCCATGTAGCTGGGGAAGGTAGGATGCCTTACGGGTATATTCTGTTAAGCCAAGACTACATGGAGATACACAGATTAATAGAAATGGGTTAACAATTAAGAGACAGCTAGCCAATAAGAAGCCTGAGCTATCAGCCAAACAGTTTATAATTAATCTGAGCCCCTGTGTGTTTATATGGGACTAAACGGCTGCAGGCCTGGGCAGGACAGAAGCTTCCCTCTACAAAACAGAACTAAGAAATTTGCTCCTGAGTAACATGTGCGAAGTAGCTATCATACTGGATAGTGCAGATTTGGAAATTTTGTTACAGAACATTTGACAAAATACTAGTGAGCTTTACTAATTTGCCCCAATTCAAAGCGAAGTCCTGGGCTGGATTATAACTCATGTAACCTATTTACAGAGTCAGCATGCCATCTCCCTCAACTTTTGAAGAAGGGGCCTTCCTTTTACTATTTTTTAATTCTGTGTGGGGTATGTGAACCTGTGAGTGCAGGCACCTGCAGAGACTACACGAGAGTGTAGGATCTCCTAGAGCTGGAGCAGAGGCAGCTGGCCGCTACCCTGCTTGGGTGCTGGGAACTAAACGCGCTTGTGTTCTCTGTAAGAGCAACACTTATTTTCAGCTACCAAGTCCTCTCTCCAGCTGTCCAGTGAACCCTTATGACTTTTTATTCTTGTAAAACAAGCAGTTCATTACTTCATTTATTACGGAGTATTTTAAGTGAGAAAAAGTATCATCCTATATATATCTGCCACCCAGCGTCAGTATTTATTAGCTCAAAGCCTTACATTAATAAAGATTCTACTCTCTATTCCACTTTTCTTTGCTATAGTATTTAGAGAGAAGTTATCCCTCATCCAGGCAGAACATAGGGAGGCAGTGTAACCTAATGGCTAAGACTACAGAATGACCAAGTAGGGAGACATGGAATCAAATTTTGGTTCTACTGCCAAACCATGCGTTCTAAGAGGACAAGCTGCTTACTTTTTCAAGGAGTGAATTTATTTATATAATCTTTTATAACTGCTACACTGTATTTTTTCTGTGTTAAATATTCTGGCCACTTTAATTTTTTACTTAATTAACATTTTTTTCATTCATTTTTACATACCAACTACAGTTTCTCCTTCTTCCCCTACTTTCCTATCCACATCCACTCCTCCTGTGTCCATTCAGAAAGGGACAGGCCTCCCATGGGCTTGAACAAAGCATGGCACATCAAGTTGAGGCAGGACCCAGCTCCTCCCCCTTCATCAAGGCTGGGTGATCCAGCATGGGGAACAGGTTCCCAAAAGCCACTTTAATTCTTAACAGAGTAAGTATTTAAGAATTATTTCAAGGCAAATGTAAAAGAGGTATTTTCTCCAGGTTTTTATATTATGTCCTTTCTCCAAGTTTATAAAAGTAAAATGATAGTATTATAAAAATTTCTACTATAATAACTATATGACAAGAAAAAGTCCCATCTGAAATTTCTTCCTTGGTTTCCCTAAAATTAACTCCATGGGTAGTAGATGATGAAATACATAATTTTTTGTTGCAACATGTAATTATAGTAAAACCAATTAATTGAGTCAATTTGTTAGTAATAACATAAAAGAAATATTTTAAACTTTATGGTAAGTTTAGAAATAAACTTTTATTTATTGTGATGTTTAGTATACATAGCTGACTTTATTTTATCATAACACCAAAAAATTAAAAGCAAGAATAAAGTTCTGGGAGAATAATTTTAGTGTGGTAGGAATGGCAAGAGATGAAGATTTGTATTGAAAACACTCATACTGCAGAATTGAGCATGATAGCTCAATTTTCTGTTGTACATCTTAGGAAACAGTTTCTAATTTTCTGTTGTACATCTTAGGAAACAGTTTCTAATTTTCTGTTGTTTCACACTTATGGTGGTTTAATGATTATTCAGAAACTTAAAATTTTATATGAACCTTAAATTTAATAACTAAGCTAAACAACCAATTACTTATGAGTGAAAACATTATCCTCAATGTGTAGCATCCTTTTTTTTTTCCCGGTTTAAAAAACTAAAAATGGGTACCAGCAAGAGGGCAAATGGGTTCAGCAGGTAAGGCTGCTTGCTGCCAGGCATCACACACACACACCCACACACACACACACACACACACACACACAAAACCAAAAACTTTAGACTCATAAAGCAATAGGTTAACAAATGTGAATGACATATCTTGGGTGAGGAGGTGCCTTTAATCCCAGCACTTGGGAGGCAGAGGCAGTCGGATCTCTGAGTTTGAGGCCAGACAGGTCTACAGAACAATTTCAGGTCAGCCACAGCTACAGAGAAACCCTGTTGAAAACAGAAAGGGAGGAAGAAAGGAAGGAAGGGAGGAGAGAAGGAAGGTAGGAGAAAGAGTGACTAATAAATGAAGCTAATCTTTTGAATGAAGGTGTGTGTTTTTTTTTTTTAACACAGATCCAATTTTAAATAAAGGTGTTGGAAAGGAATTTATTTATTTGTTTGTTTGTTTGTTTTTCAAGACAGGGTTTCTCTATAGCTTTGAAGGTTGTCCTGGAACTCACTCTGTAGACCAGGCTGGCCTGAAACTTACAGAGATCCGCCGTGGCTGAGGTAATTCTTGGCTTGCTTAATGTAAAGGATTAGAGGCAGATAAGCCCAGAATTTTCTTGGAAAAGTCAACATAAATCTAAGTAAACGTATAAACTTGACCTGTTTAAAAAGCCATCTTGACTGTACAAATGACATGTGCTTATAGTCCTTCCTTCCTGGCTTATAGTTCAGTAAGGAATCTAGGAGGACAAGAACAAGCTGGCTCTTGGGCCCTTAGTATGGACAGCGCTTTGCTAGTGAGCATAGGACTGCATGAGCCATGCTGCATATGGAGGGTGGAGGGCAAGAGGCCATCATTGCTCTCCACCATGTTTAAGACAGAGTTTTGTTTTGTTTCAGTTGCTTCTGCCATGATAGCTGGTCCCTTAGCTTCAGGGGACCCTCCTGTCTCCATCCCCTCATCTTGCTTTACAAGCACCGGGACTATAGATGTGCACTACGGGCTCTGGTTTTCTGTGTGTCCTGGAGATTTAACTCAGGTGCTCACACACAGCAAGCACTTTACCCAGAGAGCCATCAACCCCACAGCTCCTTTCCTTGAAGTTTGAATCCTTACATCACTTAAGACTATGCTCAAGACGACATTATTTAAAATGTACAATCCAAATTAATCTACAGCAGCATGTTAACAATGTCTTTATTATCCAAATAAAAGAAGTGTAGATGTCTTACCTGATGTCTTTCTCAAGTTGACCTGTACACTTCATCAGTGAATCAATCTTGGAATCCCTTTGCCGCACAGACTCTATGAGGTATCTGTAGGGTTGCTGAGTCTGGTTCAACAGTGAATTGGCTCTGTCAAGCTAAAGAAACACAGATGACATTAAATTGAGAAATCTTAAAGTGAAACCACCCCAAATGCTTTAACGTTACAGTACATTATCCTCTTGACATGACTTTTCTAGCACTGGAGCTTGAACCCAGGGCCTCATGCCTGCACTGAGCTACACACCACATACCTCAACCTCATGCCTGCACTGAGCCACACACCACATACCCAGGGCCTCATGCCTGCACTGAGCTACATACCACATACCCAGGGCCTCATGCCTGCACTGAGCCACACACCATATGCAGAGTGCACTGAACTCTTTTGCACATGAAACATTCGCAAATGTTAAATAAATCTGTATACATTTGGAGGTTTAAAAAATGGCTAATCAATACAGTCATAACAAATAATAGTAAAAATTATTGTAAACAATAAATGAAAGTGTAAAATACACACACACACACACACACACACACACACACACACACACTCCCTTTTAATGAAAATTCGTGGTCAAGACCAGACTGGGGAAACCCTCAGAAACAGCTGACCTGAACATGGGGGAGCTCATGGACCCCAGACTGATAGCTGGGAAACCAGCATAGGACTGATCCAGACCCCATGAATGAGGATGTCAGTTTGGAGGTCTGGACAATCTATGGGGCCATTAGCAGTGGATCAGTATTTACCCCTAGTACATGAATGGACTTTGGGAGACCACTACACATAGTGGGATACTCTCTCAGCCTAGACACACAGGGGAGGGTCTAGGTCCTGCTCCAAATGATATGACAGACTCTGAAGATCCCCCGTGGAAGGCCTCGCCCTCCCTGGGGAGCAGGGATGGAATAGGTAGGGTGCTAGTGGGGGGCAAGGGAGGAGGGGAGGGAGAAGGAACTGGGATTGGTATGTAAAAGAAGCTTATTTCTAATTTAAGTTAAAAAAAGAAAAAAAATCCAAAAAGAGATAATTCATTAGATGAAACAATCTTTAATTTAGACTTTATTTCTAAAAATATTTAACAATCATTCAGTAACTTTTTTCACATCTCCTTTAGTTTTAAAAACATAAGTCATATATATACCTGAATCATTTTATATAATTAAAAAATTTTAAAATTGTGGTTAAAATACAAAAAAGAAAACAACCCCAAACCAAAAATCCAAACCCATAAAAAGTTACCATTTAAACCATATTCCCCCCCCCCCCCACCCAGACAAGGTTTCTCAGGTAGGCCTGGCTCTCCTGGAACTTGCTTTATAGGCCAGGTTTGCCCTAAACTTGGAGATCAGTCTGCCTTTATCTTCCGAGTGCTGGGACTAAAGGCATGAACCACCATTTAAACCACTTTTAAGTGTGCAATTCAAAGGCATTAACTATGCTAGAAATGTTTTAGAACCATTATGCTGATCTTTTATTTCAGTGCTGGGGACTGACTCCAGGATCACATACGTGTCAACCTGACCCTCTAACTACTACGCTATGTTCCAAACTCAAAGAACTGGGTGGACTACGTTTTTCAAGACAGTCATGGTTTTGCTTAAGCACCTTGAATGGGCGATTACAGTCATAGACCACAACACTGCTTACATTTTTTTTCTTAAGTCTATTTTAAAATTTACATACTATTTTAAGCTCTATATGCAATTTGCTTTAGTATTTCAACTTTTTTGAGTGGGGCATTCCATTCATTTTATGAAAACAGTAAGAGAAGCTGGGCATAGTGTCGTATGCCTTTAATCCCAACACTTGGGAGGCAGAGGCAGGTGGTTTCTCTGTTGAGTTTCAGGACAGGCAGAACTACAGAGCTATATAGTGAAACCCTGTCCTGGAAAAACCAACCAAGCAACCAGAAAAAGTTAAGTTAATGAGATCAGCCAGTAAAGACCCTAGCAGAGAAAGGTTTGTGATTTGGGTGCAATATCGTGACTACACATGAAGGTAGACACAGAACTCCAAATCTACGCTGTGACATGTTTGTTTATGTGCACACACGCGCCACACAAATACCCTGCAAACACGAGCAAACGGTAAGTGACTAACTAGCCTCCCTGACACCAAGGGGAGAGGGAACTATGAGATGGGAGGCGGTGTGAAATGTGCAAGGGGAAGAATGAACAAATCTGGGCACAGAGACGGCTGCACAGAGTAAAAGAAGATGCTTCAACAGTGAAGAAAACTTCTTGGAGGGCAACTTTCCCCCTCTCTAGCTAGGGTTTGGGTGTGCTTTTCTTTTGTTCTGATAGTCATTCTTTAAAATCCACTGTGATGTCACTGGAATCCTACCCTACTAAATTACTTTAGAAACATTCAACTCTGTGGCCGAATGAAGTTCTACTAACCTGTATAACCAGTTTCCTTAGTCAATTATATCAAACAATTGCCTTGACTTTGTTTTCACACAACTGACCCTTGCTGAATAAACTCAACTGCCAAGTGGCTTTGTGTTTCACAGTGCAGTCTTCTACCTGTGCTGTGGGGTGGACCGGCAAAGGTGGAGGAAAGGCGGAGCAGTTACAAACTACAGTAGTAAACTCTGGTGGAGAATGAGCAGTCTAAAACTTACCAACTCTAATTGCACAAGGAGTAGCAGCTAGCCTACACACATTAATTCACTTGATTTTTCACAACAGCAACTACATGTATTGGATTTTACAACAGCAAAATGAGTCACAAGCCTTACTTCCAAGGCTTAAATGCTGGGGCTTCCCCAACACTCATAAAAACTACAGCATTACTGTTTTAAGGTTCTACTTCTTTATAAGTGTGTGTAGGATTTTAAGGCTCCCAAATATTTTTGCCCCTCTCTCCCCAATTCTGTAGGGCCATACTACCTTATAGTGCCAGATTCGTCCTCTCTCACCCCATCCTTTTTTCACTCACTGGGGAATAAGACTACAACTGTTAATAAATAGTGGTGATTTTTTTTTTATTTGTGAAAAGTTAATTGAACAGAATTTAATTCCTCTGATTAAAAAAAAAAAAGTTCCTGGCTCCAAAGTTACACAGAGAAACCCTGTCTCGACAAATCAAATTCCCCAATACTACTTTAAAGCCTTTTCCTAGTTAAAGCAATAAGTACTCAACAAGTTTCACAATTACTGGCTGCCTATTGTTAGCAAGCTTTTCCTTATAGGAAGGCGTTAGTAACTAATGACTCAGGCACCAGACAAATATGACTCAGGATTAAACCCATGACACAACAGTTTATAGGATTGTTATTCCTCCTTTGTTTCAAACACTTGTACATGATTCAGAGGAAAGTAGTACACGTTTAAAATATAATTATATTTTGCATTCAAAAACTAATACAAATTATACTGGTATTAAAAATCCAAAATTATATTATTCTCTTAAGATTTACAAATTATAAATGTGACCACATTTTGTAGTGTGCGTTTTCTTTCTTTTTTCTTTTTTTTTCTTTTTTTTCCAAGGCAAGATTTCTCTGTAGCTTTGGAAGCTGTACTGGAACTCACTCTGTAGCCTGGAACTTCTTTTTTTTTTTTTTTTGACACAGGGTCTCTTTACATAGCCCTTCTTATCCTGGAACTCATTGCGTAGACCAGGCTGGCCTCGAATTCAGAGATCCACCTATTTCTGCCTCCCAAGTGCTTGGATTAAAGGCTTGTGTCATTAATAATTGGTCTGTGTGTTTTCTCATTAAATGTAGAATTTCCTTCTTGTGGAGTCTCTTTTTCACAGGAACTGTTTTTCCAGGAGGAAATGGGGTCCTTTCTGGCCAGAGATAGACTGTACTGTGTTCTAGTAAGTGGACTTACATACATGTGATATATGCAGAGGTGGATTACACTGGCCACTTGCATATCTTTGCATATGAAACATCTACTTGATATTAACATTATGCAAATATCTTGTGTTGTCAATCGCCTGGGAAAATGTTACAAGCCACAAGGCGTCTCTCCTGACCAAACTAAATCAAATCCAATAGGGCTCTGATTTTGATATGCAGCCAGACCTGGAGAATGAACAGCTACCATAATCTAGGACTTGTTTTAGGCAACTTCAACCAACTATTTTCGTGGATAAATCATCTTATACTCTGAACTGAGCATGTGTCGTCCCCCCCCCCCCCCCAGTTAAAGACAATCTCATTTCATATGTTAATAACTTCATCTCCAAGAGGTTGAAGATTTCCTTAGGATCTGGGAGGAAAGGTGAAAGTGTCCCATCAGGTGCGCCCTGTTGGTTGCTGGTAGGTAGGTCTGGAGTCTCAGGGGTCAGACCTTGTAGACAGGTTTGTAGTGAGACAAGTGGGCTTTAGAACAGCATCTGTCACTAATGCTTCTGCAAGTTTCCCAGGACTTTAATAAGTATCTGCTAAGTGATTATCAGTCATGCTTCTGGTCTTGAGATTTATTTATTTATTTTTTTTTAAATTTCTGAGATATTCTCTATGTATAGCCCAGGGTAGCCTTGAATTTTCCATGTTCCTGACCCTACCTCCCAAGTGTTGGATTATAAGTCAGCACTACCTGGAATGTCTAGCCCCAAGTTTCAAAATGTTGGTATGAAGGAGAAAGTCACAATGGAAAGATGTTAAAATATGTGAATAGCCAGCATGGAAAAGATATTTAGACTTACTGAAGTAAACAAGATTGTAAAGTGTTAGCCATTCAAAGTGTGGTCCTGCACCATTTCTATTAGGACTTGTTTAGGATTCTGAAGGCATCATTCTACATCCCTGTGATCAGAGTCTGAGGGCATGATTTAGAAACTGTATTTTATAAGAACCTTGGATGATTCTTATGCACATTACTGTTTGTCTGTTTCAGGTGGGGTCTCCCTCTATATAGGCTAGCCTAGATCTCACAGCTTAGCTATACTGGTTTTGAGCTCATAGTGATCGGTGCCTGACTTAGAATCTCAAACCCTGAGATTACAGGTGGGAACAAACTTTATTAATGTTTTAAAATCACTGTGGGGCTATGAGAGTGCAGAAAAGGGCAAAGATGAGAGGTAGAAGTAGTTAAAGAAGGCTCAGTAAACAAAAAGAGCAGGATGACCTGA